GTGTCTCCCTAATCAAACACACCTGATTCAACTCATTAGCTCATTAAAAGAAACTCCAGGACCTGAAATGGGTGTCAGATAAGGGAGACATACAAAATGTGCAGTGTTGGGGGATGCTCAGGACCAGGGTTGAGAAACACTGCTCTAGAAGCTTGCGTTCTGCAAGTGAACGGCATATTATTGTTCATCCCAAAGAGGCACAAAATCACTTTCACTGACTTTTTCATTAACTGTTCCCTCCTGGTGGAAAACACATCTGTTCCACCTTTATTTGTCCCGCTAACTCTAGCACTATCTATTCTAATTCTATTCTTTATAAAAAATAAAAAAAAAACTTGCCCCTTTTTGCCCCTCATTTTTAGGTGTTTCCAAAATGTGATGGCTCTTTTCTCAGTGCGCATTAGTAAGAGGGTATTGGCCTAATTCTGCCCTGCAGGCGTTGTTTGGTGTGCTCCTCTGTACTCTGAGGAGACTCTTACAGAACTCCGCATGCACGGCTTCAATCTGAGTTTTGTCCCATTTTTCGAATTGGTGATTTAGGAGAGGACCCCACACTTCACTGCCATATAATGCAATAGGTTCTATGACTGATTGGAATATTTTGAGCCAGATTCTAATTGGTATTTCAATTTTTGGGCAGCCCTGCCTCACACCCACATCTCTCTCTCTCTCACACACACACACACACACACACACACAGACACACACTTATGCTCGCTGTCTCTCTCTCACACACACTCTTATGCTCTCGCTCTCTCACACACACTCTTATGCTCTCGCTCTCTCACACACACTCTTATGCTCTCGCTCTCTCACACACACTCTTATGCTCTCGCTCTCTCACACACACTCTTATGCTCTCGCTCTCTCACACACACTCTTATGCTCTCGCTCTCTCACACACACTCTTATGCTCTCGCTCTCTCACACACACTCTTATGCTCTCGCTCTCTCACACACACTCTTATGCTCTCGCTCTCTCACACACACTCTTATGCTCTCGCTCTCTCACACACACTCTTATGCTCTCGCTCTCTCACACACACTCTTATGCTCTCGCTCTCTCACACACACTCTTATGCTCTCGCTCTCTCACACACACTCTTATGCTCTCGCTCTCTCACACACACTCTTATGCTCTCGCTCTCTCACACACACTCTTATGCTCTCGCTCTCTCACACACACTCTTATGCTCTCGCTCTCTCACACACACTCTTATGCTCTCGCTCTCTCACACACACTCTTATGCTCTCGCTCTCTCACACACACTCTTATGCTCTCGCTCTCTCACACACACTCTTATGCTCTCGCTCTCTCACACACACTCTTATGCTCTCGCTCTCTCACACACACTCTTATGCTCTCGCTCTCTCACACACACTCTTATGCTCTCGCTCTCTCACACACACTCTTATGCTCTCGCTCTCTCACACACACTCTTATGCTCTCGCTCTCTCACACACACTCTTATGCTCTCGCTCTCTCACACACACTCTTATGCTCTCGCTCTCTCACACACACTCTTATGCTCTCGCTCTCTCACACACACTCTTATGCTCTCGCTCTCTCACACACACTCTTATGCTCTCGCTCTCTCACACACACTCTTATGCTCTCGCTCTCTCACACACACTCTTATGCTCTCGCTCTCTCACACACACTCTTATGCTCTCGCTCTCTCACACACACTCTTATGCTCTCGCTCTCTCACACACACTCTTATGCTCTCGCTCTCTCACACACACTCTTATGCTCTCGCTCTCTCACACACACTCTTATGCTCTCGCTCTCTCACACACACTCTTATGCTCTCGCTCTCTCACACACACTCTTATGCTCTCGCTCTCTCACACACACTCTTATGCTCTCGCTCTCTCACACACACTCTTATGCTCTCGCTCTCTCACACACACTCTTATGCTCTCGCTCTCTCACACACACTCTTATGCTCTCGCTCTCTCACACACACTCTTATGCTCTCGCTCTCTCACACACACTCTTATGCTCTCGCTCTCTCACACACACTCTTATGCTCTCGCTCTCTCACACACACTCTTATGCTCTCGCTCTCTCACACACACTCTTATGCTCTCGCTCTCTCACACACACTCTTATGCTCTCGCTCTCTCACACACACTCTTATGCTCTCGCTCTCTCACACACACTCTTATGCTCTCGCTCTCTCACACACACTCTTATGCTCTCGCTCTCTCACACACACTCTTATGCTCTCGCTCTCTCACACACACTCTTATGCTCTCGCTCTCTCACACACACTCTTATGCTCTCGCTCTCTCACACACACTCTTATGCTCTCGCTCTCTCACACACACTCTTATGCTCTCGCTCTCTCACACACACTCTTATGCTCTCGCTCTCTCACACACACTCTTATGCTCTCGCTCTCTCACACACACTCTTATGCTCTCGCTCTCTCACACACACTCTTATGCTCTCGCTCTCTCACACACACTCTTATGCTCTCGCTCTCTCACACACACTCTTATGCTCTCGCTCTCTCACACACACTCTTATGCTCTCGCTCTCTCACACACACTCTTATGCTCTCGCTCTCTCACACACACTCTTATGCTCTCGCTCTCTCACACACACTCTTATGCTCTCGCTCTCTCACACACACTCTTATGCTCTCGCTCTCTCACACACACTCTTATGCTCTCGCTCTCTCACACACACTCTTATGCTCTCGCTCTCTCACACACACTCTTATGCTCTCGCTCTCTCACACACACTCTTATGCTCTCGCTCTCTCACACACACTCTTATGCTCTCGCTCTCTCACACACACTCTTATGCTCTCGCTCTCTCACACACACTCTTATGCTCTCGCTCTCTCACACACACTCTTATGCTCTCGCTCTCTCACACACACTCTTATGCTCTCGCTCTCTCACACACACTCTTATGCTCTCGCTCTCTCACACACACTCTTATGCTCTCGCTCTCTCACACACACTCTTATGCTCTCGCTCTCTCACACACACTCTTATGCTCTCGCTCTCTCACACACACTCTTATGCTCTCGCTCTCTCACACACACTCACTCACTCACTCACTCACACACACACACACCGGTGTGTCGCAGCATGTGACTCTCATGCGCCTCATAAATCATTATCATAAACGCACACTCTGTGAGGAATGTTCAGACTACACGAGCAAAACTCAAAGTCCTGACATTCTGGTCATACAGCTGAACACATTTGACTTTTTAAAAATGTTCATTAATTAATTAGTTAATTAATTTTGTTTCGTTTTTTCATATTTGTATAAATACTGTCACCACGAACACTGTATCACTGTAGAAACATGCTATTGAGGTTTGTACTTGAATTTCGTGCAATTAAATAAAAGACAACAACAAACATTTGACTGAATTTGTTTCATGATATTCTTCTGGTCAAACGCTTCCAGTAATATTTTTTTAGATTACTATAAAATGAGTATAAAATGTTTTTGTTTTTTTTTCAATTGGATGTTGGAGCAAAGCTCCTTTAGCAGTGTTTGAAAATGTGTTTTCATGACTTTACTATTAATCTAACGTTTGGAAAATAGACAGAATTAAGAAAAAGTGTACTATCGCTTCTTATATAAAACAGTAAGATTAATATTGTTATATAAAATGTAATTATATTAAAATAACTTTATGTCCTAGGCCTATTTATACTGAATAAAACGTTAATGTTCTGGACACGTGACTGTATCCGTGTGTGTTCGAGGCTCCGCCCGGTGTCCGGTTCGCCGTCGTGACGTCACTCGCTGGACCGTCGGGGCGGGGGGCGCGCGCAAACACCGCGGCCAGCGGAGACTTTTTCCTCTTGATTTTTCCTTTTCTTCTCCCTAAAAACACCCTCATCGGCCCCAAAACACGCCGAGCGAGCCTCCCGGCGGCCGAGGAGCTCCGTCACCGACAGCATCGCGGGCGATCGGGCGCGCGGCCTCCACCGGAAAGTTTGTCTCCGCGGCTAACGGACTTCACGAGAGAGGGATCCGGCACTCACCCGCGCGGATAACGGAGAAATAACGTCAAATACCGTCAAAGTCTGCGTGTAAATATAAATAGAGTGAAAGTCGGAGAGCCGCAGCGCCCCCGCCCGAGTCCTCCGGTAAACTCACGGTAAACTCACGGTAAACACACGGTAAACTCACGGTAAACACACCGGAGGATCGGCACTCGGTGAAGGTGAGTCATTTCCCCGCACCTTTCCCTCAGATCTCTGAGAATAACATTCTTTAAACTAATATAGTATACTGTCATATCAAATAATAGTCATAAAATCTAATGTTTTGAGATGGAATAATTTCTTAGATGTTTAGACGAAAGGTTTGCTTATGTGTTATGATTTGGCTTTTATGACTGATACAGTGAGAATATATCCAGAGACTCAAACTGAGTTAAAAATATGAATTTGCTGCAGATGCTGATATTTCTATGATGAGATAATGATGCTTGTAATGTAAATCAGTGAGATCTTTCTAACAGTGCAGCAGATACTGAAAATGATCTAAATATCAGTCGTGGCTCTATATCTCCAGTAATCTTAGTAAAATGAGAGTGAAATGATCCAAACATATAATGCAGTGATTGAGAGCTGAAGAAATAAAGGCTCCTCAGAAGATGTGAGATGTTCTGGAGGCTTGTGAAGATCATTCCTCCGCTGAGGAACAGTGAAAGTAAAGCTTCTGGAAACAAACGCTCCTCAAAAGATCCTGAGGATCAGATTTGAGACTCTAAAACATGATTGATGGAGAATCAAGTAAAGCTGAGCTGCTTCAGTCCAGTAAGAGTTCATCTGGAGATATTACTGCAGTTATTCTGACGCTTACTTGATCAAAACCACTCAAGATCTGACTACAGTTACACTAAAAGAGCTTTTACTGAATAAACAACTCTAAACTATCAATCAGAGACAGAAGACATGGAGGAGATCGAGTGCGAAACAGCAGAGTTTGATCATGATCATCATTTAGAGCTTTAGAAATGTGATACAGTGGCTTTATAGAGTTAATAAGTTAATTGAGTTGTAATGATTAAAGTATTTGCATGGCATTTTATTATCCACCTTTTTCTTCAACGCGGAAGTAAGCTATGGGTGAGACTTCCGGTTCATTAGCCGCTGAAGGGAAATAACGAGGAGAATAACAACGTGCAGTAAACGGTAAAACTGCTTGCATTATAAACCTGTGTGTTCGTAATTAAGACAACACATTCAAATAATATGGTAAGACACACCAATCTTCAATATCAAGCAAAACGAGCGGTTCTGTACAGCTAAATATAGCTGGACGCGGATGAGACCGGAAGCCAGACACAGAATTTACAAATGGCGGCGCCCATTTTAACGGGAAGAAAAAGGAGGAGTCTCTAGTGCATGTGCTTAATTAAATCATCCTATATAATTATGTAATTCTAATAATATTTCACATTTTTTACTGTATCAAATAAACGCAGAAGAGACTTCTCACTAGTCTTCTGTTCTCAACAGCCGTCGCTTCAGGGTTTCTGGGAGTTTGATGTGATTGACAGAGGAACGTTGAGCTCTGATTGGTCCGGAGGGACTGATCCTGATTGGCTGTTATTTTGTGTTTCAGGATGGCCGCCTCAGTGAAGGTAGCGGTGAGAGTTCGGCCCTTTAACTCCCGCGAAACCAGCCGAGATGCTAAATGTGTCATTCAGATGCAGGGAAGCTCCACCTGTGAGTCTTTACAGTACAGTTATTATCAACATTTCTTCTTATTACATTTTCTTAAATACTCAATTTTTGTATTTTACAGTGAAATATTACAATAGCGATAGTTTGTATTTTGTTTAATATTTTAATTACTAATCATAATAGCAATAATGATATAATATATATTATTATAATAATAGAAGAATAATTGCAATACTAGAATTATACTAATAATATGATTTAAATAAAGATTATATTTTATAGTTAAATATAGGTAAATAACCAGACATTTTTTTTGCCAAATTGAGCAACCGTACAAGCACAGCAAACCTGAGGCTTGTTTAAATGCATTTTAATCCACAACTGCACTTTTTATTAGAAATATCACAGTCTGCGATGTCTTAGAAGGGAGCGTGAGCTGCACATCTTCTGAACGTCTCACTCTGTTGTGTTTGTCGTCTCACAGGCATCTGGAACCCCAAACAGCCCAAAGAAGCAGCCAAGAACTTCAGCTTTGATTATTCGTACTGGTCTCACAGCTCGGTAAGATCCTGCGCTACTGTTCACTGCTGCTGTCTGAGCTCCTGTGCCTCTGAACTCACTGTGTGTGTGTGTGTGTGTGTGTGTGTGTGTGTGTGTGTGTGTGTGTGTGTGTGTGTGTGTGTG